TAAAAGATTTGTGGACATATTTTAAAGCTACCACAGGTTCTTAACTAGAACAAGCAGAGCAATTTCAGTAAGTGGCCAGCATCACAATCTCCACTTCTTTGGCTCATCAAACAGTAGCCTCCTTAAGGAAATATACCTCTACTTTAAGTTTGCTTATGGATTTTCACCTTTAATCATATTATTGATTCAAATGCTTTCTTCCTGGGACGCCTGGGTGGCTCAGTCAGTTAAGCATCTGCCTTCGGCTCAGGTCACAATCCCAGGGTCCTGGGATTGAGTTCTGCAATGAGCTCCTTGCTCAGTGGGGAGTCTGCTTCTCCATCTCCCTCTGCCACTCCCCCTGCTTGTGCTCTCTCTCTGACAAATAAATAAAATCTTTAAAAAAAAACCCAACAAATTCTTTCTTCCCTCTAAAATCAGCTGACCTACTTGTGTTAAGAAACAAGTAGGAGAATAAAATTCTTTTTTTTTGAAGTTTTTATTTAAATTCCAGTTAGTTAACACACAGGTAATATTAGTTTCTGGTGTAAAATATGTGATTCAGCACTTCCATACATTACCCTGTTATTTGATGACGTGTCGTGAGAACCTATTTAACCCATCACTCCACCCATGTCCCCTCTGGTAACCACTAGTTTGTTCTCTATAGCGAAGAGTCTGTTTCTTGGTTTTCCCCGCTCCCTCTTTTTTTCCCCCTTTGCTCATCTGTTTTGTTTCTTCCACACAGGAGTGAAATCATATGGTATTTGTTGTTCTCTGACTCATTTTGCTTAGCATAATACTCAGAGAATAAAATTCTTTCAAGTATTTGAAAAGACAGTATCTTGACTATACATCGCTAATGAAATATGCACAAAACAGAACTACAAAAAAAAAACTTCATCAGTAGTTTCATTAATAACAGTAGTGTTAATATCAATAATAATATTGCTAGTAGTAATATTATAAGTATATTATACAATAAAGAAATAAGTAAATTAATGTAATAAAAACAAATGTTGAGCCTAAGAGACAAAGAGATACAAGTACAAAATCAAAGTTCAATATAAATCTATAATATTAAGTTGAAAAGAGAAGTATCAGTATGAACTCATAATTTTTCCTTATATAGCCTCTAACTTGAAAAATATTATTTTACTAAAAATGCCTAAAAGCAATGATATCTAACACCAATGAGCATACCTAGCACCCAGACTGTGGTCTCTAAATAGATTATCCTTTTACAGACAATATAAGAAGAAACAAGCTATACAACACCACAAAAATAAAATTAACCAAATCCAGAATTTAGGAAATTCTATAAGACAAAGATCCAGATGCTAGAAAATATAAGAAAACACAAAATAAAGGAAGGACTGTTACAGGTTAAAACATATTTAAGAGCCACAACAAACATCTGTAAGGAATGGACCTTAATCGATCCTGATTTAAACAAAAATTTACTATAAAAACACATTTTTTAGATAACTTGGGAAATTTGAATATGGACAGGGTATTAAATGGTATTAAGAAACTGCTAATATTTATTAGGTGAGATGATACTGTGGGTATAAACCTTATCTGTTAGAGATGCAGGCTCAAGTATTTATGAGTAAAATGGTATGATGTCTGGGATTTAAAATTCCCAATAACAAAATATAGTTGTGTTTGAGCCCATTGAGGGAGTTTGGCTCTTTATAGTATAATAGAATATACAATCAAACTTCGTAATTTAGTTCACTCTATATACACATGGAATGAATAATCAGTATGTCTGAGGGATATTTTTTCAATATATGAGGACCCTAATAACACTGTCAACCAACCTCCAATTCAACATCTCATATACTCATACACCACAGGACACGTCATCAAATAACAGCTTTGTTAAAATCATAATAGCTTATATCAACTTGTTATGCCATTTCCTTCACCTGTTAACAAAGTAAGCCTAATAGAAGGGAAGTCAAGGTTAGTCTGACGTAACTTGTTCTTAGTAATGCCTACAGATTCTCAAAGATCACTACATTCTTGTCTAAATATCTCCCTTATGTCTAATAATTTATTCTTGATTTTTCTAAGGAATCAGGAGCCAATCATCTATAATTCTCAAATTTCATCTTTTTCAATTTAAAAAATGTATTTCTTTTTAATAGTTTCAGTGAGATATAATTCATCCATTTAAAAAATATAATTCAGGGGCGCCTGTGTGGCTCAGTCGTTAAGCGCCTGCCTTTGGCTGAGGTCATGATCCCAGGGTCCTGGGATCGAGCCCTGCATTGGGCTCCCTGTTCCGGGGGAAGTCTGCTTCTCCCTCTCCCACTCCCCCTGCTTGTGTTCCCTCTCTCACTGCGTCTCTCTCTGTCAAATAAATAAAATCTTAAAAAAAAAATTAAATTAAATTAAAAAATAAATAAAAAATGTAATTCAACGTTAAGAGAGTTGTATAACTATAACTACAATCTAATTTTGAAACATTTCTTTTTAAAGATTTTATTTATTTATTTATTTATTTGAGAGAGAGCGAGCACAAGCAGGGGGAGCGGCAGGCAGAGGGAGAAAAGTAGGCTCCCCGTTGAGCAGGGAGCCTGATTCAGGACTTGATCCCAGGACCCTGGGATCATGACCTCAGCCGAAGGCAGAAATCCAACTGACTAAGCCACCTAGTCATCCCTAATTTCGAAACATTTTAATATCCCCTAAAAGAAACCCTTTAACTATGACCTGTTACTCTCCATTCTCTACTCTCTACCTTCCATTCTTTAAAGATTTTATTCACTTATTTGAGAGAGAGAGACACAGCGAGAGAGGGAACACAGCAGGGGGGGGTGGGAGAGGGAGAAGCAGGCTTCCCGCTGAGCAGGGAGCCTGATGTGGGACTCGATCCCAGGACCCTGGGATCATGACCTGAGCAGAAGGCAGATGCTTAACAACTGAGCCATCCAGGCGCCCCTCTACCTTCCATTCTTAATCTTCTCTCTGTCTCTAAAGATTTGGACTACTCTAAATATTAATGGCTTTTTACTTCTTAAAAAATAGGGTATTATCTTTTAGTATCTCCCATAATTTGGTATAAAAGTCAATTCCTGTAAGACAACATATATTCAATTTTCTTCAACTCTGGAATATTTAAGAAGTTCACACTCTCCAGGTGCTGAGTCCAGCATCAGGTTCCCAGGGCTTCCCTATCTGACATCTGAGTCCTGTGACAACTAAGGCATGGGAGCAATACAATATTCAGGGTCTAGACCATTTTTCTGATCATCTTTGCCTCACATAAGAGATTCCCTCAAGGTTAGCCTCAATCTTCATCTGATGCTCCTGCCATCCCTACTCCATCTTCCAAAACAATATCCTGCCCTACTTTGATTCTTAAGGCTTTGGTTCTTAAGTCAGTCCAGAACTGACCTGGAGCTTTGGAAATCTCTCTTGGACTGGGTTAAGAAACTTTTTGGCTCCCCCAGCTAAACAAAATGGGAAGGCAATGAAGAAGACAGTGCTTTCACCCCACCCCACTGGGTTTCAGCTTTTAATTCTCATGACCGTTCTTGAGACTTCCACTTCTGTCTTGTCATTCTCTTTTCTCCTGCCATCAGTCAGGACATGCCACAGTGCCAGAAGCACACAAGTCCCAAGAACACAAGTGGGAGTAAGGTAAGTAGTGAGGAAAATAGATTCTGGAGTCAGAGGCATGTGTCTTTGGTCCCTTTTACTACACTGAAGGAGTAGGATAAGGCTACATATCTGGAAAGGCCAGACAGGAGACAGCCAGTTGTCACCCATGAGGCAGAAATTGACTAAAGCCAAGTTACCGGATGGGACAAAAGAACAACTGAGAAAGAAACAAGGAAAAATTACAGTGCTCAGGGCTTACCTTGCCCAAAGGGGTAAAAGACTCTTGACTAGGATAGGTCAGCCCTGACAACTTGAAGAGCAGACAACTTCTACCATGAGTAGAAGGAAGAAGTGCTTTGGAGAGGTTTTTCTAATGGAGGCCAGCTTTGAAGAGGGGGTAAAGGACAGAGAGGGCTCACACCATCACTTGTCCAAGCCTGCATTCTTCTGGCCATTAAATTAGGTCCCAAGCAGAATTCCCTCCCCCAAGCCCTCTCTACAATGTGCAGGGGTGACCACCTACTAGCAAGTGATATATTATCAAAAAAGGAAAAACAGCTTAAACTTTCCTAAAGTATTGTTTCACATTAGGAATGGATATGCTCTGTCTGCCTGTGGCTCTAGGCAGCCATCTCCAGCTCTACCTGTCAGGCATTTCTCCTGAGAAGAACGTAACTTCCTGAGCCCAGCTGATTAGCTCCCTTTCCTACCCTAGGAGTTTGAAGCCAGAGACAACTTCCAATACCTGAAATAAATACCAGGATATTTTTAGCAAGTGCCTCAGTCCTATAGCATGGTGCCTAGACCAGAAAAATGTCTGGGAAGCTCAGAGCTTAAATGACTTCTGAAATAAACTGTATGTGCTGGGATCAATCATCTTAACTTAATATTACCATCAATCATCCTAATTGCAGCTACTATTAACCAATTTGTATGGAACTACAGTATTTTGATATTTTAACCATTGGTACATCTATGCTAGTATATACTGGCTGATCATTAAACCCAAAAGATTCAGATCTTATGTGGACTCTGAAAGTGACATTAGTGTCCATAAAGCTGGATGCCTCCTATTAGGACTGGACATCACTGTGTAACACTCTACAAGCAGGAAACTTTCTGGTAAAACCTATAAAGCACCATACTGAAAGAGTCTTAAAGAAGTGTAAGTTTTTTTAAAAGAGACTATGTATAACCAAAACATCTGTACTCATTAAAAGTAACATGTAAAATGGCATCTACCATATTAGGAACAACAAATCTATCACACAGTAAAATTTTATTACATATTCTGATTATTTATTAGCAGAATGAACTAAAATGGAATTCCTAAAACTGATAGGTTCCAGAGATTTTTAATACTTGCAGAATGTAGTATTTGCTTGCAAACAAAAACATCACAGTACCTTGTAATGTCCATTTATCACAGCATCATGTAGGGGAGTGATCTGGTACATTCCTTTGATATTTACATCTGCTCCACCTTTTAATAATTCACTTGCTGTCTGATAAAATCCTCCTACACTAGCTTCATGAAGTGCTGTCCAACCTATTATACAAAAAGGAAATGGTACTTATGTTTGCTATCTTAATGTTTTGTGCTTGCCCATAAAATAAAAACTCTATGTTGTTTCTTTAAAAATATTTTGATTATATGAGACAAGATAATCTCACCATGAAATAACTTGTATTATTAGATGAATTCAATAAATCTGAGGACCAAATCAAATTCCTACCAACTCAGTTGTGAAAAAATATGAAAAGAAGTAAAAATTTTTTTAAAGAAGAAAAATATTTGAAACTATTCCTGCCCTACTCAAATAAAAAGGCTGTAAGGGAGTCATTATTAGCTCACAGAGAATGCTAGTTGCAGGCTACTTTCCTGGAGGGAAGAGAGGAAAAGAACTTTATAGCTCAAGGTACTTCCATTAAAGTAACCCAGCTAGTAGGAATGCACAGAAGTCACTTCAAATTTTATCCATTCTGACAATCTTTGCCTTTTAATTGGGGTGATTAATCGATTTTCATTTAATATAAAAGGTTAGATTGAGGACTGCAGTTTTATGGTTTCTTATGCACATTATCTTTTTTCCCCTCTCTGTCTTTGCATTATTTTGTAGTAGTTACTATAGTAGTTACTTCAAAAACATATATTTCTTTTCTCCTTATTTTAAAAAGCTATTTACAGTTATTTTTTAAGATTTTATTTATTTATTTGAGAGAGAGAGAGTGTGGGGAGAAGCAGAGGGGGAAAGAGAGGAACAAGCAGACACCATGCTGAGCACGGAACCAGATGTGGGGCTTGATCTCAGGACCCTGAGATCATGACCTGAGCTGAAACCAAGAGTCAGATGCTTAACTGACTGAGCCACCCAGGCACCCCTATTTATAGTAGTTCTAACACCACTATTTTAAGAAAACCAGTCGTACAGACAAGTATCCTTTATCCTTGTTAGCCAGAGACAGTGGTATAAGTTATATTTATTAAATTCCAGTAAATCATAGGATTGATGAAAGAAAACCTAAAAGTTGCATGTTAAAAGTGTATTTCACTAACTCTTTCCAGAACCTTCTCCATAAGCCAGGGTTTCTCTAACTCAGCAGTAACATTTTGGGGTGGATAATTCTTTGTGGTTCTGAGCATTCTATTAGATGCCACTAGCACCCCACCCCCATTCCAGTTGTAACAACTAAAAATGATTCCAGAAACTGCCAAATGTCCCCTGAAAGGCAGTATCACTCCACTTAAGACCCATTCCTATAAATGTTATAAAAGCAGTTTATCCTATATTAGTAATTAGAAAGCTTTGAGGAAGAAATGAAGAGTACCAAATGGTTAATAGAGTTTTTTTCCTATAAACTTCCTTAAAAACGCATGTGACTGTTTAAATTGAATATTATAACATTATATTTTGGTGTTATTAACGTATATAGATGTTATATATATAGTACAAAAGGCAGATGTGGTCAATGTTTTTACATTTTATAGAAATATTAACATACTAACTCTAAAAGGACTGAAACATTAAAGATGTATATTTCAATCACCAAAGTAACTACTACAAAATAATGCAAAGACAAAGAGAGGGGAAAAAAAGATAATGTGCACAAAAAACATTTAATAAAACTGCAGTCTTCAATCCAACCTTTTATATTAAATGAAAATCGATTAATCACCCCAATTAAAAGGCAGAGATTGTCAAAATGGATAAAAAACCTGTCTATAAGAATATGCTGTCTATAAGAAATAAATTTTATTTATTTTTAAAAATTTTATTTATTTATTTGAGAGAGAGAGAGTGAGTGAGAGAAAGCACAAGAGGGGGAAGGGTCAGAGGGAGAAGTAGACTCCCCACGAGCAGGGAGCCCAATGCGGGACTCGATCCTGGGACTATTTACAGTTTTTTTTCGGATCATGACCTGAACCGAAGGCAGACACTTAACTGACTGAGCTACCCAGGTGCCCAAGAAATAAATTTTAAATAAAAAGACATAGATAGGTTGAAAATAAAAGGATGGAAAAAGATACAGCAAATAGACAAGAAATATAAGAAGGTGAGGATGCCTATATTAATATCATATTTAGTAGCTTCAAGACAAAGTATATTACCAGAGATAAAGAGAGGTATTTCATAATAATTAAAAGGTCAATTTATCAGAAGACATGAAAATTACAACTGTGTATGTACCTAATAACAAAATTTCAAAATATAAGCAAAAATGGACAGAATTAAAGGGAGAAATCAACAAATCCACAATCACAGTTGTTAATATTTCAACACTCTTCTCATAAAATGATAGATCAACTAGACAAAAAATCCATAAATACAGACATGATCTGAATATTACCAACCATCTTCATCTAAGTGACATTTATAGAACATTGGATACAACTGAAGAATAATCATTCAAGTACACAAGGTATAGTAAGCAAGAAAGACCATATACTAGGCATTAGACCAATTCTCAATAAATGTAAAAGGATCAAATTCACAGAAAGTATATCCTTTAACCAAAAGGAATTAAGTTAGAAATCAATACCAGAAAGATACCTGGACAATTCTCAAATATTTAAAAATTTAACAACTTCTAACATAATCTTGGGGTCAAACAAATAATCATACAAGAAATTAAAAGTATTTCAAAGTGAATGATAATGAAAATACAACATAGTAAAATCTGTTGGATGCAGCAAAAGCAGTATTTAGAGGGAAATTTAAAGCTTTAAATGACTACAGCAGGAAAAATGTATAAAAATCTGTGACCTTATTTTCAACCTTAAGAAGCTAAAGAAAAAAAATTAACCCAAAATAAGTAGAGGTCAAAAGAAGCAGAAATTAATAACATTTAATACAGATAAGAGAGAAAAATTTAAAGCCAGAAGTTAGTTCTTTGAAAAAAAAAAAGCAGTAAAATTGATAATCCTCTAGCTTAAACTACTTTAGGAAGGAAGGAAAAAAAAAAGAAAAAGGAAAGAAGGAAGAGAGATAATGAGCAATATCAGGAATGAAATATAAACATCCCTAAAGATCTGCAAATATTAAAACACTAATAGGGGAATATTATAAATGACTTTATGCCAATAAATTCCATAAGTTAGATAAAAAGGACAAATTCCTTGAAAAAGTACAGCTTACCAAAACTGACACAAGATGAAACAAAATATGAACAGCTCACACATAGGAGAAATTTGCATTATCAAAATCTTGCCACAAAAAATTACAGGCTCACATAGTCTCACTTTAAGTTCTGTCAAACATTTAAGAAAAAACCCCCAATCTTACACACACTCTTCCAGAAAGTAGAAGAGAATACTTCTTAACTCATTTTATGAGGTCTACATAACCCTGATACCAAAACCAAAATCATTACAAGAAAATTATGAACCAATATTACTTACAAACATAGGTTACCAAAAAAATCTTTAACAAAATATTAGCAAATCCTGAAACCAAAATCAGACAAAAGCATTACAACAAAAATAAAATTACAGACCAATATTGCTCATGATCATACATGCAAAAATCCTTAACAAAAGAGTAGCAAATTGAATCTAGCAATATATAAAAGGATGATTTATCATGACCCAGGATCCATTCCTGATAAAAATACTAAGGAAATTAGGAAAGGATTCCTCAATATCATAAAGAGCAGCTACGAAACCTACGTCTAACATCATGCTTAATGGTGAAATACTGAAGAGGCAAAACTATAAGAAATAGTGAAAAATATCAGAGAAATATCAGAACAATAGTGGCTTCTAGAGAGTGGGGGTGGGGAATGACTGGAAAGAGGCATGAGGGAAATTTCTGGGATGTTGGTAACATTGTCTTGATAGGGGCACCTGGGTGGCTCAGTTAGTGTCTGCCTTCGGCTCGGGTCATGATCCCAGGGTCCTGGGATCGAGCCCCGCCGTCAGGCTCCCTGCTCAGTGGGGAGCCTGCTTCTCCCTCTCCCTCTGCCTGCTGCTCTGCCTATCTGTGCTCTCTATCTCTCTGTCAAATAAATAAATAAAATCTTTAAAAAAAATTCTATCTCGATAGAGGTTTGTGTTACACAGGTGAATATATTTGCCAAAATTCACCAAACAGCACATTTAAGATCTGCATTTTATGGTATGGAAATTTTACCTCAAAAAAGAAAAAAACTATTGAACTCAAATATTAATGCTGAGGTGTTCAGTGGTAAAATGTACTTTCTTTGAAATGCATCAACATAAAGATGGATTGATGGACAGATAGAGATTTAAAGATGGATAGGAATGAAATAATAAATATTTATTAGTCTCTGCCCCCTGGTTCCTGGCACAGAACTCCTAAACCCTTGTAAATAGGGGTGCTAGGACAATCTTTTGTTAATATTTGGTCTCTCACCCCAGTTCCTCATACAGAAGCCCCAAGAGCTTTGCAATTTCCTAAATGATAAAAGTGTCTGACACAGAGCTCCTCAATCCCTTGCTATTCCCTGGGTGACAGAGTATCTTTTGTTCTAATGAGGCAACTTTTGGTGGGCTCCTGGATGGGGGCTGGTCATAAGAAAGACCAAGTCATGAGTCAGAAACTTGGAAGTTTCACCTCTATGTCCCCCTGTCCCCTGCCCTGCCTTCACGATGAAGCCTCCATAAAAATCCCCAAACTCTGGAGTTTGGAGAACTTTTCCAGTTTGGTCAACACATCTACATGCTGGGAAGGTAACATACTCCAATTCCACAGGGATAGAAGCTCCTGTGCTCCAGGACTCCCCCATGCCTCACTGTGTATCTTCATCTGGGTATTCATCTGTATCCTTTGTCATATCCTTTATTATATAATAAATTTACATGGTAAACATAAGTGTTTCCCTGAGTTCTGTGGCTATTTTAGGAAAAGATCAAATCTGAAGAAGGGATTTGTGGGAACCTCCAATTTGTAGCCAAGTTGAACAGAAATTGTAGGTAACCCAGGGACCTAATACTTGTGACTGGCCTCTGAAGTAGGGGTGGCTGACTGATCCCTTAACCTGTGGGATCTGTACTAATTTGGGTTAGTCAGACATGAACTACATTGCAGGTGTTGGAGAATTGTTTGATGTATCAAAAATCCCACACATCTGATATCAGAAGTGTTATGAATATAAGTAGAAAAGAAATACATGAGTGTTTTTCCTTTATAGTAAGTATGCAATAAAAGTAAGTATGTAGAATCTAGGTGTTAGGTATCTGGATGCTTAATGTAGAATTCTTTTACCTTTTCAGTATGTTTAAAATTTTTCATAATGTTAAAAGAAATTTCAAATAAATAGCTCACATGTGAACTTTTAAAACATAACCAATTAAGGACTACCTATTTTTAAAAACATAATATAAAAATTATCTCCCTCCAATAGTATTTGATAAAAATTAATTTAGGTTTCGGGACCTGTGGAAATTAGCTTATCAGTGTGTATACTGGTTAACCTGATTATCTGCCACCAGTCTAGGATGAAAAATGAAATGTAAGAAATCCAAAAGTTATTAACTCTGAAATGTAGATGATGATTTTCCTCCTAGGAAACTTCCTTTCCTTATTGAGGTTTTGCTTAAGCTACAATATAAATTAGTTTCCTAAAATGGACAAAAACAACTGCTATCGGAATGAGAAAACCATAACAAAAGATTAGTTTTGTTTTCCCTGAGCCAGAATGACTAAAAGACAAGGTAAATGTAAAGTGGAAAACCAGTCTCCTATTTTAAATTCACTGCAGAAAATTCCCAAAGAAGAGAATTACTGCATGTCAGTAATTCAGAATAAACAGTGGGGGCTCAGGGGAGGAGTAAAAAATGAATGCCACTTTAAGTGAGACCCAAGCAAGGATGACCCAGTGATGAACAGTATCAGTCTTTTTTTTTTTTTTTAAAGATTTATTTATTTATGGGGTGGGGGGACGGCAATGGGAATCTCCAGCAGATGCCCCACTGAGCGAGAAGACAGTCGATGCAGGGTTCGACAAGGGGATCACTCGGGGCTTGATCCCAGGACCCTGCAATCAGAACCCCTGAGATCAGGACCTGAGTTGAAATCAAGAGTCAGATGCTTAACTGAATGAGCCACCCAGGTGCCCCTAATTAGTATGTCTTAAGGTTGAAAGAAGTTCCCAACATTGACAAAGCCAGAAGGATCTTTATTCTGTAGACAGAGCCACTGTAGACCAGAAATGGCTACACAATGCAGAAAGAAATCAAACGTACAAAGAATTTCCCCTCCCCTAGGGATTACTCCTTGTGTGTTATAAAACCACTCCTTCAAAATAAAGATGGATCACATTTTACAACAGATCTTTTATTATCTTCCAAATCTGCAAGTTGGAAGATCCTTAACAATTTTTTTCTTTTTAAAAAATTTAACCATCTTAAAGAAAATCTCTCTAAAGCTTCATAAGATAATAAATTTCCCAGAAAGTGAAAATAACAAATTTTAATAAAGATCATAATATTATTTATAGCTCTAATGTAGCAACTGTTAACACCCACAGAGGTGTAAGTTCACGTTCTTCTGCATTATACAGTCCTCAACAACGTGGCCTCTCATTTTTATGTTTTTATCTGTCTCTTGCCTTGCTGTTAAACTTCTTGCTATTATCAATATCCTGGACTGTGCCAACCTTTCTTTGCATTCTAATGTGCCAGAGACTTAGGAATCAGGTAGAATTCTGTGTAAAATAATGCTCAAGGCATTGGTCTGAGAGGGTTTTAACAATGAAGCTTAATGAGATCTGTTTTTGGGTATTCCGAGTTTCTTCAGCCTACTTCCTGGTTTCACCTTTGTTTTTGATAGATGAAGAACTATTGCAATCGTTTTTTTAAATCAAAGACAAAGATACCATAAGATGCAAATGAGGACTTATAATGCAAATGTTACCTATGACAAGACCATTGGTCTGTTATTGTAACATCTTAAGAATTTCTCAAAAGGCACTTATCCTTTTTTGGACTGTATCACAGAACATATTTAAACTTTTCTAGTATATTTATCTTTCTGTTTTCATAATACCTGGTACATAAGGGGCATACTGTAAAAGCTCACTACAATGACTGGTATATTACATGGAGGTCATACATCTCTTGCCAGTAGCTCTTGAACTTCACTGAGAATACAAATCATCTGGGGAAATATGTTAAAATGCGGATTTCAAGGTTTTAACCTACAGATTTTAATTGTGAGACTGTGTGTGTGTGTGCATGTGTGTGTTTTGGAGGGCGAAATAAACATTTTAAACAAACTGCATTTTAAACAAACATTGAAGGTGACTGATGAAAATGGTTGTAGTCAAGTCTTTAAAAACACTACCCTCTGCAATTTTATAAGATGGAATAGCCAGAAGTAAAGATCAGAGCTAAGATACAAAATGAGAAGGAAAAGTAGAGAACAAAAGAGTTCAAAAAGCCAGGAAAGTATATTAAGGATAAAAGATTCATTAAGGTCACAGAAGTATCTAGGGCAGTGAGGAGAAAGTGCACAATAAATTGCTGAAGACAAGCAGGGAAGAGACACCAAGGATGTTAACAACGGCACAGAAAATGGCTAATGAAAATAAGTATGTTAAGAGATTCTTGGGAAGTCCATAAAGTAAAGTTAGCTGCATGTAGAGCTACTCCTGAACTTAAGGAGCAGATAGAGACTAACAGCAAGTACCACACATTTCACAAGGAAGCAAGTGCTTTGGCTAGCAAATAAGGATCCAAGGTTGAGGGTTACAGGATGTTGGCGGTTCACTTGGGTATGAGATTTAGAATAACAGCCTGTTAAAACCCTGATTATCACATAAATGCAGGCTTTGCTAAAGTAAGTGTAATCACCAGCTTGTCCATGGACTGTGCTGTTCACTCCTGCGCATCATAAGACTTTTCACACCGTTTCATAAACAGAAAGTCTAGAAACACTAGTAAAAGTATGGACACATAAAAGCACTACCCAGACTGGCCCAGTGCTGCTAAGTGCCTTACATACTTAAGTGTCCTTAAGGAATCATTCTTGTCCAGAAGAACATCAGCTTCTCTCCACAAAAAAGACTGTATTAGAGATCCAGCCTTGCAGAAAGAAATGTTCTGAGCTCCCTGCCCCACCATCTCTACCTTATACTCTCTTCTCTCCATATCCCTGGCCATTGCCCCTGCTGTACATCTACCATGTTATCTCAGTTTCCCCCACAGCTCAGCATACCATCAGCTTCTTTCAGCTTTTGAGCTCACTTCTCTTCCATTCAAAGTTGAGTCTCACAGTAACAATGCCCATGCAAACCCAGCAAGTCAGCCACAGGAACCGCATCCTTCTGTGTAAGGCCACTGCACATGGCCCACCTGGTGGGCCCTGGGCAGGCAAAATCTTTGAAGGTGAAAGAGAATGCTCTTCTCCTGACCCTCCCTCCCGACCTTACCACTTCCCTGGGAGATGATGGTGATCAGCTACCTAAGCAGAAAAATTACCTGGAAGCTTTCTCTTTGAGACTTGCCTTATACCCACTGTGTCATACTTTCATAGGAGTGACTAAGCAGAAACTACAATCCACTCCCAAGATAATTGTGGGTTAACCCCAACTTACCAGCATAACTTGGCTGATTAACATTTCCCCCTTTCATTATATAATGATGAACAAGATCAATGTCATTATGCAGAGCAGCCTGATACAGTAAGTTCTCTCCAAAAATGTTTCTACGGTTAATGCTAGATAGAGATACTTTATTCCTCTTCATTTTTTCTGAAACGAGGGGACGGACAAAAGAAAACAAAAAGTAATAATCCTTATTTAAAAATCAGGAAGAACACAGGTAATAGAATGAATCCAGTCAACATTCTGGAATTATTTTATGAGTGTTTCATCCATAAACCCAACAATAATGTTATCTACATGCAAAAAGGTAAAAGAAAAATATCATTAGTTTGAAAATACTTGCAGTACATTATAAATCATGTAAGCAGTTTATGTTTATTGAAACCCCATGAAAGTGCATACATGAGAAGACTAACATTACTTTCTTAAAAGTTCTGGTGAAAAGGATTATTTAAATCTAGAATTAGGTATTATTAAACCCAACAAAATACTACAGTACCAAAATGTGTTTTAACACCATGAGGAGAAAAATCTCAGAAGTATATAAGGAAGATACAGAAATTAACCCAGTGAGGCCAGAAAAAAGAATGCTAAATTTCTTTCTTTGCTACAAATAGCTGTCACACAATTAAATAAAGAAATATGGTCTTGATCTGTACAACAGTTTTCTTTCCTAAGCCAGAAAATAGACAATTAAAATAGATTCCCAGGTTATACATATCAGGTATCATTTCTCCACTGTGTCTCCTAAAATACTGACATTCCTTATTTAGATACTCTAAATTCTGTCAATTTTTATGGATACTAGTTCATGTGGTTTTCCTGAATTTCAGAATAACTATGACTATAGCTTTTCTAATTTTGATCTAGCTAATCTGCCCCATCCTAAAATCTCACAAAAGTAACTGAGTACAGCAGCACATTTTTCAATGGATCACAATTTATCTGCTTTGCCTTTATTAGATATCCTCCAATCAGTTCCACTGTGAAACAAACCAACTTCTGAACATTTGAACCTATCTTCCCCCACTCAAGACTACAAAGCCTTCTGCTCCTACCAGATAAACTGTATGCTTACCAAAAAAAAAAGTAGTTTTTACTTTGCCAGTTGTACTTGCTAGTTATATAATTTATTAGAAATAACAAATTAAGAATACAACATTTTTCAATGAAAACTAAGATATAGAAGCCATTCACTTCCAATCATGACTAAATAATTGCCACGACTTGCCCTTCCATTGCAAACAACTAAAAAAACTACACAAAATATATGGGGTAAAAAAATTTAGACACTGGAAAACAGGCAATTAGGATCTATGACTCCTTCCAGAGAAGAGAAACAAGAGAGCGAGCCCTAAGATCACTCTTGCCTGAAGGCACTTTCCAGAATATAGCACAAGCATAGCAAGGTGATCCTGCTGAGCTGAGGAAATAGAGATTCAAGTTTCAGGAGGCTAGGGAGATTAGATTTTGCACGGTAGGGTACAATGAGGGAAGAGAGAACAGGTGCCGAAATCTATAAAAGGGACTCCTTGAGTCACTATCTAAATACTAAAATGCTCATATGTGTAGGTTGAGTCTTCCTGAGGCTGGGCAAGAACAACTACCCAAGAACTATAAAATAACAATCCTGAGAGATCACGCAGGCCTGGGAAACATTTACATTCCTGACAGCCTGAGGAGAGAGACTTTGCTAACAACCAGAGCATTAGTAGAGACCCTTGACAGGTCATGTCTTAGTAGAAGGGGCTAAACTAGCTATATAGTAAAGCCTACATCAAACCTAACAAGGTTTTTAAAAAAGTTTTGAAAGGATCAATCTGATCTTCAAGTAACTTGTAGGCCAAAACAAAATTCAGTATTTTTAAAATATATAGACATTCAATAACATTTTGTTGCATGTGGATATCTAATTGTTCTCCTCTACAAAAGCCTTGTGCCTTTGTCAAAACTCAGGGTTTATTTCTGAACTCATTACATTGATCTATTTCCCTATCTTGATGGAAATGTCATGCTATTTTGATGACTATAGCCATATCATTTTTTTCTTTTGAGAGAGAAAGAGAGAGAGTGTGCACATGTGAGTGGGGAAGGGGAGAAGAGGCAGGGGGAGAGGGAGAGAGAGAATCCCAAGCAGGCTCCATAGCCAACACAGTCATCTCACAACCCTGAGATTATGCATGACCTCAACTGAAATCAAGAGTCAGATGCATAACCCACTAAGCCACCCACGTGCCCCGCCATATTTTTTTTAAATTTTATTTATTTATTTATTTATTTGAGAATGAGAGAGAGAGACAGCCAGGAGAGGAGTAGAAGGAGAGGGACAAGGAGACTCCACGCTGAGCGCAGAGCCCAACGAGAGGCTTGATTCCATGACCCCAAGATCATGACCCGAGCCGAAATCAAGAGTCAGATGTTTAACTGACTGAGCCACCCAGGCACCCCGTCCTGTCACATAATTCTTAAAATAATGCAGTATTAGCCCTCTAACTTTGTTCTTTTTCATAACTGTTTTACCATTCTAGGTCCTGTGCATTTCATATGAATTTTAGAACCAGTTTATGAATTTCTACAAAAAACCCTACAGGAATTTTGATTGGGATTGTGTAGAGTTCATAGATAATATCTGAGTAGAAATAACATCTTAACAATATTTAATCGTCTGGGGCACCTGGGTGGCTCAGTTGGTTAAATGTCTGACTTGATTTTGGCTCAGGTCATGATCTCAGGGTTGTGAGATCAAGCCCTGTGTTGGGCTCTGCTCAGTGCGTGGAGCTTGCTTGGAATTCTCTCTCTCTCTCTCTAAAAAAAAAAAGCCCCCCCAAAACAATATTGAGTATTCTGACTGATGAACAAAGCAGTATCTCCCCATTTTTCTCCATTAAATTTTGATTTTTCTGAATAATGTTTTGTAAGTTTCAGTGTACCTGTCTTTTACATAGTTTGTCAAATTTATCTCTATTTCATATTTTTTATACTATGGTCTCAAATTCCACTGTCTAAATGTTACTAGAATATAGAAATATAATTAGTATTTGTATATTGACCTTGTATCCTTTAATTATGCAAAATTCACTTATAGTTGCTTTTACTATAGATTCCATCAGATTTTCTCATAGATGATTATGTCATTTGTGACTAAACACAGTTTTACTTTTTTTCCCACATGGATGCTTTTTATTTGTTTTTCTTTCTGACTGCCCTGGCTAGAACTTCTACTATGATGTTCAACAGAAATAGTGAGAGAAGATATCCCCTGCATTATTTCTGATTTTAGAGGAAAAGCATTCAGTCTTTCACTACATTAAGTATAATAGCTGTATTTTTTTTGTAGATGCTCTCTGTCAGGTTGACAAAATTCCCCTCTATTTTAGTTTGCTGGGAGTTTCACCAGTAAGACATGTGAGGTGTTGTCAAATGCCTTCTGACATCCCTTGAGATGGTAATATGATTTTCTTTTTTAGCTTGTTAGTGAATTACAGTGATTGATTTTCAAATGGTAAAACTAATCCTGCATTCCTGGGATAAACCCAACTCTGTCATGATGTATTATACAATGTTGAAATTGATTTGCTAAAGTTTTGTCTGTATTTTTGTATCTATGTTCATGAGACATATTCATCTGTAGGTTTCTGTTCCTGTGATGTCTTCGATTTTGTTTTCAGTTTATTAGTAGCTTCACAGAATGAATTGAGAAGTAATTCCTTATCTTCAACTTTTTGGAAGAGTTTGTGGAAAACTGGTATTATTTATTCCTTAAATGCCTATAGAATTCACCACTGAAGGTGTTATGAAGTCCATCCCCTCAAAATTTGTATGTTAAAGCCATAATAGAGTAGGATTTGTATCCTTACAAAAAAAAGTAAGAGACTTCAGAGTTTTCCACATATGCAGGAAAGACACTTAGAGAAGGCGGCTATCTGCAAGCCAGGTAGAGGTCCAGAAATCGAATTTTCTATTACCTTCATCTTGGACTTCTAGCTTCCAGAACTGTGAGAAAATAAATGTGTCATTTAAGCAATCCAGTTTGTGGTATTTAGTTATGGTAGCCTAAGCAGACTAATCCAAAAGGCTTTGGGCCTAGAAGTTTGGGCCGAATCAAGAGTCAGACACTCAACCAACTGAGCCACCCTGGTATGCCTAGAATAAATCCCTTTAAGTAGAATTTCCAATTCAAGAATTGTGACTTAAAAGTCTGAAGAATCTAAATAAACTGCCCTGTGAAAAGACTGAACAGGGGTGCTTGGGTGGCTCAGTCAGTTAAGCGTCCCAGTCTTGGTTTCAACTCAGTTAATGATCTCAGGGTCCTGAGATTGAGCCCTGCGTCGGGCTCGGTGCTCAGTGCAGAGTCTGCTTGTCCCTCTCCCTCTGCTCCTCCCCCTGCTCTATGTCGAATAAATAAATAAAATCTTAAAAAAAAAAAAAGACTGAGCAAACTTACACTATTACCAACAACATAAAAGACTGCTTACTTTTTCCATATTCTTGCCACTGGGAATTCTCAAGTGTTTAAACATTTGACATTCTCTTAGTGAAAACTGTACTTCCTAATTTATATTTTTTAAAATCATAAGTGAGATGCTAATCCTTTCAATTATTTTTTAAAAGATTTTATTTATTTATTTATTTGAGAGAGAGAGAGAGTGTGTGCAAGCAGGGGGAGGGGTAGAGGGAGAGGAAAAGGAGAGGCAGAGAATCTCAAGGTGAGCAAGGAGCCTGATGCAGGGCTGGATCTCAAGACCCTGAGATCATGACCTGAGGCAAAACCAAGAGTCAAATGCTTACCTGACTGAGCCAACTAGGTGTCCCAGTTATTTATATATATATATATATATATATATATGTATGTATGTATATATTTTTTTCCTGTGAACTGCTTGTTCATGTACTCATTTTTCTTTTTCCTTATTGTTTTGTAGGAGCTCTTTGCATGTTAATGCAATTAACCCCTGTTATGTGTTATTGATATTTCTTCTGTGCTCAATGTTTGGTTTTCTTTAGGGTATTTTTCCATACAATCTTCTTAAAATATATGTAGTCACTTTTATCATTCTTTTCCCTCCCGGCTTCTGGGTTTGTCATTTTTTAAGAAGGTTTTTCCTCCTCAGAGATTACAAAAAGATTCACTTATTTTTCTTCTAGAATTTTTTTTTCATTTAATCTTTGGACAAAATGGAATTAATTTTAGTATAAGGAATGTTATAGGTATCCACCCAGTTTTGTTTATGTTTTTACTGTTTATTGCTTGGTCCTTCTTTTTGCCACCAATTTGAGATGCCATCTTTATTATATATCTTCCCCAAAATTCACACTGTATCAGGCTTCTACATGTAAACTCTATTCTGTTTCATCAATATATCTGTCTATTCCTGTGCCTGTACCAAATTATTTTAATTTCTATGGCTTTTGCTTTTATATTATGTATAGCAGGTTCTTGTCTCTCCACTCTCCCTGTGCTTTTATTTTTCAGAATTTTCTAGGCTAGTCTTTCAATATTTAGTATCATTTTATAACATTCTCATAACTAATCTCCAGCTTTATAAAGCAAACGAATTAGCAAATAAACAAAAATCTGTTTTTGATTGAGCTTTCACATATTTATAGAGTAATTTAGGGAGCAATAAATTTCTTACAAGACTGAATACTTATGGTCAAGAGTAAAGTTCTTCTTTTTATTCAAGTCTCTTTTTTTTGTTAAGTCCCTCAGCAGAATTTTCAACTCTCTTCTTACAGGTAAGGCACATTTCTTATTAGGTATACAAGCAGGTATTTTCTCTTTTATAGTTATTATAAATGGGACTTTCTCCTATATTTTTCTAACTGGGTAATACTTACATATGAAAGGTATTTATTTTTGTCTTATTTCAGTTCACTGAATTTTTTAAATGTCTTATCTGGAAAAAACCCTCAGACTTACAAAAAAGTTATAAAGACAGAACAAAAGATTCACCCACTGTTAGTATTTTGCATGCACACAGACATATATATACACCATGCCCCTTTACTCACTAATGCTTAAGTGTATATTTTCTAAAAATAAGGATATTCTCTTAAATAACCAAATTATTATTAAGTTCAGGAAATTTAACAATGGTATATTGTTATTTAACCTACAATCCATATTTTAATTTTGCCAATTGTACCCCTATTATATTTTAACCAGTCTTCCTAGATTCTTATGGTTTCTCATAGTTTCTTAGGTTATTCTTTGGGGTTTTGTAGGAACAAAGAAATAACATCTGACACCTAGCCTTATGCTAGGTTTGTCACACCACAAATAGATCACATATCTAAATTTGAAAAGGGTCCTGTAACTATTCTCTCCAAATAGAAGTATAGAAAAAATACCAGTCTATAAGCCAGAAGTTCATGATCAAGTCCTAGTTATGCTACTAATGAGCTGTGCAATGCTGGGAAAAATCCTTCACCTTTATGAACTTCCTCATCAGTAAAATGAGAAAGTTGAGATAGATAATCTCTAAATCCTTTTCAGTACCAGAATTCTATGTTTCTATAAGTTACTTAGTTAAAAAAAAATAAATCAAATATGCCTCACCATTTTTTCCAGCAAGTTTTTTGTTTCTCTCCATCTGTTCTCCACTTTTGAGTCTGGTTGAATGCATATTCTTCCCTTTACCTTTAATCATTAAAGCAGGATCCTGCATTCTTGAAACATAAATGTGTTCTTAAAATTACTATCATGTTCTCTACAACAATTCATAGAGAATCATACTAAATTTTTACTCAATTTTTAAAACTGAAAGGTATTTTACTGAGCTGCTATCAAAGAGCATGGCAGTTTATTTACTTATTTTTTTTAAGATTTTATCTATTTATTTGAGAGTACTGAGGAAGAGTAAGAGGGAGCTGCAGACTCCCCACAGGGCTGAGAGCCGGATGTGAGACTCAATCCCAGGACCATGAGGATCATGACCTGAGCCAAAGACAGATGCTTAACCAACTGAGCCACCCAGGGGCCCAAAGAGCATGGCAGTTTAAAATATGGAGATGGCTCCTGAGTAAACAGCAGATAATTCTGTGACAGGCATGCCAGTTTTTGTGGCTTCTAGCCTTTTCTTTGTGCCACCTGTGGGTTTCTCTCCTTTAAGAGCAGTCATCTACAAGTATTCTGAGTCTCTTGCCCCTCACTCCCTAAGCTGGCATACCATTATCTAATCACCTTCTAGGGAAAAAGATAGGCTTTTTGCAAGAAAACAGGACTTGCCATGTGGCATTACATTGATCAAAAACTGCAAAATAGTGGAATAAAGAATAAATACAGACACATAGCTGAATGGAATACTGTAGAGCGGAAATAAACCAATGTATATATGGTCAATTAACTTACAATAAAGGAACCAAAAATATACAATGGGGAAAGGACAATCTTTTTAATAAATGATGTTTGGGAAACTGGATAGCCACATGTAAAACAATGAGACAGCATTGATCTTACATCATACACAAAAATCAATTCAAAATGGATTAAAGACTTCATTGTAAACCTGAAATCATAAAACTCGTAGGAAAAAACACAGGGGGTAAGCACCTTGACATTGGTCTGGGCAATGATTTTTTGGATTTGGCACAAGAAGCAAAGGCAACAAAAGCAAAAATGAATAACCAGGGCTATATCAAACTAAAAAGTTTCTGCACAGAAAAGGACACCATCAACAAAATAAAAAGGCAACCTACTGAATGGGAGAAAATATTTGCAAATCATATATCTAATAAGGGGTTAATATTCAAAATATATAAGGAACTCATACAACTCAATAGCAAATGAGCAAACAATCCAATTCAAAAATGGAAGAGGCACTGAAAAGATATTTTTCCAAAGAAGACATCCAAATGGCCAATAGGTACAGGAAAAGGTGCTGAACATCACTAACCAGCAGGAAAATGCAAATAAAAACCACAGTAAAATATCACCTCATACATGTTATAATGGCTATCATTAAAAAGACAAGAAAGAACAAGTGTTGCTGAGGATTTGAAGAAAAAGGAACCCCTGTGCATTGCTGGTGAGAATGTAAACTGGTGAGGGCACTATGGAAAACAGTATAAAGGGTCCTCACAAAATCAAAAATAGAACTACCATATGATACAGCATTTCCACTTCTGGATATTTATCCAAAGGAAATAAAATTACTATCTTGAAAAATATCTGCACCTGTGTCCGCTGCAGCTTTATTTACAATAGCCAAGACATGGAAACAACTTAAGTATCCACTGATGGATAAATGGATAAGGAAAATTGGTATATATATATACACACACATACACACACACACACACACATATATGTACATACACACACAATGGAGTATTATTCAGAATAGCATAGAAAAGGAAATCCTGCTATTTGTGACAATGTGAAAGGACCTAAAGGGCATTATGCTAAGTGAAATAAGTCAGACAGAGAAAGACAAATACTGTATGATCTCACTTATATGTGGAATCAAAAAACAAAAACAAAAAACCCAAACTCATGGATACAGAGAACAGACTGGTAGTTCCCCGAAGCAGGGGGGTGGGGAGTGGGTGAAATGGGTGAAGGTGATCAAAAAGTACAGACTTCCATTTATAAGATAAATAAGTCCTGGGGGTGGAATGTACAGCACGGTAACTGTAGTTAACAATACCATATTGCACAGTTGAAAATTGTTGAGAGAGTAAATCTTAGAAATCCTCATGACAAGAAAAGAAAATTTTGTAACTGTGTGATGATGGATGCTAACTAAACTTAATTTAAAAAAGAAAGAATGGAAATTAGCATTAGGCTGAAATCCAACAAATCTCCCTTTACTCTTTTTAAAAAAAAAGAAGAGTTTTCTGGGTTAAAAAAAAAATAACTGCACAGTAAATAAGGCAACAACACTAAAAAATAAAGTTCTTCACTTAGGGGTAACTGTATATTGACTCTAGTGTCCCAAGCATAGAATTATCTATAAAGTCTGTAGCATATCCAGAGAGAGAGATATAACTTGGGAGTATACCTGAAATTCTTAGTTGAAGAGTTATTATTTGTTTGATTCTCACTGACAAGTATCTTTGATAAAATCTTTTTTGGCATCTTATACTTGTCATCTGTGTGCTTTTCATCTCTGCCTGCTTTCAGTCTGGACGATCTCCTTAACACACATGGAGGTTCCTGGTCAGACTTATTTTCTACCGAATTTGAATTTCCCTTATTATTTAGTGGATCACAAGAGGTGACATTTTGATGAACCAAAGTTTGCAGCCCAGATGGACTTGGATCTTCTAGAGTCTGTAATAAGATGTAAATACACAAATAATTATAACAATGCAAAAGATTTAAAATGAGAAGAAATTAAGTTTTATCTCATCCTTTGATTATACAAAAATGCCTCTTATAAGATGAAAGTACAAAAATCCACAGGCCACATAATAAAAATTTAAAAATATAATAAAAGCCAATGCAGATTTTAAAAGCCTCAGACAAGAAGAGCATAAGTAAAAATTATTCTTATCAATATTCATCCTTAAAATTCAAGGGCAAAACTAAGGTTACTCTGGATGCTTTAACTTCACAGGAAATAGGCAGCAAAAAATGACATATAAAAACAGCAGAAACATCATACTAGACCAGATCAATGCTCTGTTCAGCCCAGTGTTTGTTGTTTGACAGCAGGAAGTAGTATTTTGTGAGACAAGATTGTACATAACTTCTATTACATTGATTTTAAAAGGTTACCAGTATATCATGAATGGCTCTTACTCCCCCTTAATAATCCATTATAGATTTAACTTTCATGAAGATATATTTTTACATATATCATGTAAACCTTTCTTGAGCTTATTTATATATCCAGCTTGCAAAGTTTTTTAGCATAACAAGTTTCATATTTCTATTATGGCTGAGTAAAAGGGTATTTAATTTGTTCTAAATCAATCTCCTTTTTACATTTTACTTTACCTCTCTTTTTTTTGAACACTTGCTAAATTCATGCTCACTCTATTAATACCAATCAATTATAATCTCCTACGTTTTACTTATATTACCTCTTTTCAGATTAGAATACTGGAATGTTTAATTTAATCTTCATACCCTATCCCCATGATTAGTTTTTCTTTTTCTGGATTTTTTTAGTTTTATTATGTCTGTTTTGAGATGTTTTCTGTGAGAATTGCATGCAGTATTATGCCAGGTATGTATTTTGCAACATGAGCTTAGTAACATGTTACTAAGTAATTGTTTCAAAAAGTTACTAAGTAACTGTTTCAAATTGTCCCAGGGATGTTCATAAAAGTTGCCTGGTAATAGCCAAAAGAAAGAAAATAATTCAAATGACCATCATTAGTGAATTAGTTAAGTAAATTATATTTATGTATGCGCACACACACACACACACAAAATATCCATATAGTCGAATAGTATTTAGCAAGTAAAAAGATTTTAATACACTACGTTCACTGACAAAGATAACCAAGATGTATAATTAAATTTAAAAAACAAGTTGCAAAATGTCAACTACACTTTCATAAAAAATATTTTAAAAAGTTGCAAAGCATTATGTATAATATAGTCTCATTTATATAAACTTACATAGAATATGCACAGAAAAAATTGGAGACAGATACACCAAATTGTTAATAGTGATTATCTCTGAAATGTGGAATTGTGAGGGACTTTTTTTTATTATATTATATAATATATATATTGCTGTAATGTTTGATTTTTTTTTTACAATGAGGGTGTATTACCATGTAGTCAGGAAAAAAAATAAGATTCCTTTAAAAAGGAAAAAAAACCTGTTAACGTAAAAAAGAGACTTAGCTAGTGGTAGCCCACTGCAGGGTCTCCAGGCATAATACTGCAGGAATTCTAAACCCCAGGAACTGTGCTACCTGACAGTAGCCTCAGACATAGACTGCAAAGTTCTGCTGAAACCAGGCATAACTTTTTCCCTCTCCTGGCAGCCCAATCGCATATATTCTATCCTCAACTAGAAATTAATGTGGGATATCTCCTCTCTACTCTGCACCCAGGTAGGCATAGTGATTTTCTGAGCTAACAGGAAAAAATCTGGTAGATAATTATTTCCTTCTTATATACAAGCAATCTAATGATAAGTCTCAGGTCTTTGAATGAGAAACTTCTATTTCAACACTTAAATCCCTTGAAAACTCTACCCCTAGAATCTCTAGAAAGATCAGTTTATGTTTCAAATTCAAAAAGCATCTTCTGAGTGTTGATATTTGGGAAGAGGGTTTGAATGTTTTTTTTTAATTTAAAGATTTTATTTATTTATTTGACAAAGAGAGAGAGATAGTGGGAGAGGGAACACAAGCAGGGGGAGTGGAAGAGGGAGAAGCAGGCTTCCCGCCGAGCAGGGAGTCTGATGTGGGGCTCGATCCCAGGACCCTGGGATCATGACCTGAGCCGAAGGCAGACGCTTAACGACTGAGCCACCCAGCCGCCCCAAGGGGATTTGAATTTAAAATAAAGTATATGAAGACTTGGTAAAGGTCACTATAAAAGGCAATGAAGACTTGGTAAAGGTCACTATAAAGGCAAAATCACAGGCTCACACTTGCACTTACATGCTGCAGTGAAAGATGCTTGTCCTGCAGCTCCCCTAACTTGGAATCTTGTTCAAAGAGTGGAGCAGAACAAAGAGACTCAAAATTCACCTCTGCTATTTGTGAACAATCTTCAGTGGTCTGAGACTTCTTGGGCTCCACTCCAGAATATTCATTTCCAGCCCTGAGACTTCTGCCTCCCTCTTCTCCATGACAGATGGGTCCCACGTTGCCCTCTGATAATGTGTTTAGGACTGCTAACAATTCAGTTGGCAATGCATCATCCTTTGTGTTTTCTAGTAAATCTTTGTGACGTGTCAAAGATACTGATATGGAACTTGGAGAGTTGCTCAATGGGTTGGCCAACTCTTTAGGTTCAAAATCACTCATTATTTCCAACAGCCTTTCCTCCTGAGTGATTTCTGGTGATGTGAGAAACCTTTCTAAGGCAGACACAGAAGTTTTAAGAGAACTTTCTTCATCCTTGGTTTCTTCAGAATTCATGGCCAATGTGGCTTCCTTTCCAGACTCAGAAAAGTTGTTTGGTACTGCTAAGATCTTCTCTGGCTCTAGTAATGGTTTCTCCTTTACAACCACCACATCAGATACTTTAGTAGTAGTACCTGAGAGAAAGCTAATTTCAGGAGAGTCTCTGTCTGTGCTTAGTTCCTGTGTAGAAACAGAAATTCTGTCATTACACCATATGCCAAAATTAAAATTAAAACTTCATAGTTTTCTAGTTTATCATCTAGGTAAATTACCACTAACAAATTTTATCAATTTTCTTCCCCTCCCATAAATAAAAATACTCTTTACTACTCCTATACCAAATTACTAATGACTCTGAATACATGGCTAAACATTCACAGAGGACCAAGAGTAAAATTGGCTGGGTCATAATTATAGATGCCAATTATCTATTCAGCTAAGTTTAAATTATTTGTGAAAAGAGAAGAGATAGAGATGGCATGAACAGTTAAATTAGTAGCTTATCTCAAAACTTCACTGCAGTTAATGACTGTAATATTATCCCTTGCCTAAAATCACTATTGGGGTACCTGGGTGGCTCAGTCAGTTAAGCATCTGACTCGATCTCAGTTCATGTCTTCATTTCAGGGTCATGAGTTCAAGCCCTGCATTGTGCTGGGTGCACAGCCTACTTAAAACTAAATTAATTAATTAATTAAATTTAAAAATCACTATTGAACTTTATAAAAATCATTAATCAAGAATAAAATTGGTGTAGTTTCACCTTCTTTTTATTCCCCACCTCTGTATCACTATGTAACTATGAAGTGAAAAGGCCAAAGGAAAGAAGATCAGAGGGGAAAAAGAAGAAAAATAAAGACACAGCTCTATGTAAATATTACGAGCCTTAGCTATCAATCAGTGGTTCTGCATTATGGTTAAACACATAACACAAAACTTGTATTTCTAAATGACTATTACTTTTCAAAGATACCGTCTTAACAGGTTATATATACCTGTTCTTATAATTTTTCCAATGCTCAAGATATTATTAGACTTCCTCTTTTGAAATTGCTTTCAAAAACCATTTATAAGCCCTTCAGAAAAGTCTCAATACTTTGAAGACACTGAACTTTTTTTTTTTTTTTTTTTTTACCATTAAAAACTGTTAATGTGCCAGGCACCTGGGTGGCTCAGGTGGTTCTGTGTCCAATTCGTGGTTTCAGCTCAGGTTCTGATCTCATGGGTCATGAGATCAAGCCCTGCATTGGGCTCTGTGCTCAGCGGAGTCTGCTTGGATATTCTCTTCCTCTGCCCTTTTCCCTACTTGTGCACATGGGTGCGTGCACTCTCTCTCTCTCTCAAATAAATAAATAAAATCTTAAAAAAAAAAACCTGTTAATTTGCTTGACCTTAAGTAATAGAATGGATTTCAATGACTTTTGGCTATTTCTAAAAATCAAATCCATCTTCCATTGACACACCATTCTGACACAATGCACTGTAATCTGTAAGCTCTCTGGTATTCTGATTTGATTTGAGTAAGAGAAGTGAAAACCATTTTATTCTCCCCTTCCTTTCCGCCTGCCACCATTTATCTTCTCTATATATAACATACAAAGCTTAAAAAGATATATTTATTAGTAATGTAAAATATAATTTGCTCAGAAAGATAAAAGGAATTTAGAAAAAAATTCAAGAACCAGAATCTATCCATTCTTTAAGTCACAGTCCTCCTATTTGAAGAACTTATATCTACTAAATTCAAGGCCATAGATGTAATAAGGTATATACACTGGACTCTGCCCTAAAGGAACTTAATTTCTAAATGAAGACTGAAGGTATAAATACATAAGACATTAAATAAATATAAATAATGTCAAAAACACTGTATGAACTGAAATGAATGGCATAAACAAAAGAGCCCAGTGTGTTACAAGAAGTTTTCTGGGGAGGGGGGAACAGGAGGCAGGGGAGGGTTTTCATGATTGCTAAAAAAAAATGCTTGGTTAAACAAAGTTAACCAGGTTTCTTTACCACAAGACTTCTCAGAGCATGTACATTAAAATCTCTGAGAAGACTTTAAAATATAGTAATCTCCAAACTTCTTTGTTCACAAAGATCCTTTTTCTCAGACCTATTAATGTCATAGGATGCAAGTGATTGAGAAATACTGATATAGTCAGTGAATAATGATTGTTTAAGAGGGAACAATTACTCTGGTCAAGATCACCAGTCATCTGAGATAGATCCGCACAGGAGGAAGGACTTGAACCAGAAATTAAAGATTTGTGAAGGAGTTGAAGGAGGGAAAAATACATATTAAGCACCAAGGAGGTGCCAGACACCATGAACTATCATTGCTCTCAGTTCTCACAATAATAGTGTGAAATGGGTATTGTAATTGGTATTTTACACATGAAAATGGACATATTTGCCCTTGAAACACACACTTTCTGGTTCCATATTTTATGTTCTTTCCCTTGCTTGTTGGCTCCTGACTTGAACAAAGACATGGAGGTGGTAATGTACAAGGTACATTTGAGATAAAATAAGGTGCAGGTACAGGTATGGTAGGGTTGGCCTGCGGAGATCCTGGACTGCTTGAGTCTGCTGTGGGCAGCGTCAGCCTCACAGTCTTCTGATTTCCCATAGCACCAAGCAGAAAGCAAAGCCAAAAGAAGCAGTCAATACGAGGTTACTGAATAACATCTGGAAGATGGGAAAGCAGTATCTAGCAGGAAATATTAAAAGAACTCTGGTAACAGACAAACCAACAGAAAGCATTTTTGCTACATCATCTCAACAGTTTGATAATAGGTTACATACTTCTCTTCTAGATATACAATAAAAGACTAATGATACTGGATATGAAGCACAGATCAAGGTACATTCTAAGGAAGATGGTGGAGCAGAAAGACCCTAAACTCACCTCATCCCACAGATACAACTAGATAACACTCACATTGGTGTAAATAATTCAGAAAATGACCCAAAGACTGGCAGAACAAACTCATAGCTAAATACAGAGAAAAGGCCACAATGAAGAGGGTAGGAAGGGCAGAGATGCAGTGGGGAGCTAAACAGACCTGCAGGACCCTCCCTGGGAGGGAGGAACTCCATGTGGATAGAGAGAAGAGAGAAACATACTATCACCCTGAGGGGAAGCCTGCTGGGGAAGACAAATCCCCACAACATTTGGCTTTGAAAACCAAAGGGGTTAAATTTCATAAGTTGTTACAACCAGTGGAACTTAAAACCTAGAACTTTAAAAATCAGTGGGCTCGGCCAGGAGGAGAGGAAACAGTCCTCACTTAAAGAGATGGCACAAAAAAACAGCCTGCAGAGATACACCATAGAAGCAGCAGTTGGAAGAACACCTGGAGAACAGGGGAGGAAGATTTGTTTATTCATCTCAGGGCATGTGCTAGAGGTACAGGGATCCTTGGGAGACTTCTCTAGAAACAAAGGAGCTGGCTGGCAGGTGCCATTTCACACCCCATCCACGCCCCAGTCTAAACACATGGCCATGTGGAGGAACCAGTGGGATGCAGACACTTGCTACCTAACTTGCTAACAACACACCTCCTGCTCCCGCAGATTTTGTGGGTCCACCCCCTCCAATAAGCTCTCTGCCAGAGCCCAACCAAAAAGGTACAATAAGACTCCCAGTGTGCCAGCAGCTCCAACAGGGGCCAACACCACTCCAAAGTGACTCTTGCCTCAGGGAGAAGGAAAGACAAACCACATATACCAGTCCAAATGCAGCCCCAGCAGTGGGCTAGGGGCAGACTGCTGGTCTAAGTGCAGGCACTGCCCATCAACAAAAGCTTCTAAGGGGACAACAAAGGGAAAGTGCCCTGCAGTTTGGTGATTCTGCCTCTCTGGCAAATGCCTGGTCTGACTCAGCTCAACTCCAAGATGGCTCCAAACTGGCCCACAACACAGGGACCAAATACTACCCACAACAGATAAAGAGAGCCACTGCAGACAACTGGACTTAAGGAAAAGGTGGCTCTGCCACAATAGCAAGGTGAACACAACACACACAGAAGATGCCCCTGACGTGTCAGGTTCTGGAGAATGCTGCACTGCAGGACACTACAGGAACTCTTCTTCATAAAGCCACTGCTTTCAAGAGCAGGAGATGTAGCTGACTTTCCTAACACATAGAAACAGATGCAGAGTTCGGACAAAATGAGGAGACAGAAGAATATGTCCCAAATGAAAGAACAAAACAAAATCACAGAAAGAGAGCCAAATGAAACAGAGGTAAGTAATGTACCTGAGAGAGAATTTAAATAATGGTCCTAAAGATACTTGCTGGACCAGAGAAATGAGTGGAGGACCTCAGTAAGACCCTTAACAAAGAGACAGAAAACATAAAGAAGAATCAGAGATTATGAATTTCACTGAAATTAAAAATACACTTGATGGAATAAGTAGTAGACTACAAGAAGCAGAAGAATGGATTTGTGACCTGGAGGACAGAGTAATGGAAAGAATCAAGCCACACAGGTGAGAGAAAAAAAATACAACATGAAAATAGATTCAGGGAACTCGGCAACACTCTCAAGCATAATAACATTCATATTATAGGAATCCCAGAAGGAGAAGAGAGAGATATGGAAGCAGAAAATTTACTTGAACAAATAATAGCTGAAAGCTTCCTGAATCTAGGAAAGGAAACAGAAATCCAGATCCAGGAGGCATAGAGATCTGCCAACAAAATCAAGCCAAGGAGGTACACACCAAGACATACAGTAATTAAAATGGCAAAAGTAGTGACAGAGAATTTTAAATATAGCAAGAGAAAAGAAAACAGTTACATACAAGGAAAACCCCTTACGACTATCAACTGATTTTTCAGCAGAAACTCTGCAGGCCAGAAGAGAGTGGCATGATGTATTCAAAGTGTGAAAAGGAAAAACCCTGCAGCCAAGAATACTCTATCCAGCAAGCCTATCATTCAGAAAAGGAGAAAGAGTTTCCCAGACAAACAAAAGTTAAAGGAATTTATCACCACTAAACCAGTCCTACAAGAAATGTTAAAGGGAACTCTGAGTGGAAACAAGAGACCATAAGGAGGAGTAAGAAAAGTAGGAATCACTAACACAGTAAAAATAAGTATATCTGTAAAAATCAGTCAAGGGTCTCACAAAATAAAAAGATGTGAAGTATGACCCCATATACCTAAAACA